GGTCCCGCCGCTCGGTCCCCGCCGCCGCCTTTAAACGGGCAGGAGGGGCGGTCGCGGGGGCGGAGCGGGGCAGCCCCGGTCCCCCCCGGCCCCCCCCGGCCCGTTCCGGGAATGCAGAGCCGGTCCCTGGGGAGCGGGGCCGGGACGGGGGATCCCCCTCGCTGGGACACCCCTCCCTCCCCCCTCGCACCGGGATTCCCCTCGGTGGGACCCCCCCCCGCACTGAGACCACCTCAGGGGGTCCCCTCACCGGGACCCCTCTCACCAGGACCCCCGCTCTGGGACCCCTCTCATGGGATCCCCTCACAGGGACGCCCTCGTTGGGACCCCCCCCACGCTGGGACCCCCCTCACTGGGGCTGCTGTGGGGGCTGGGGTCAGGGTGGGCATCTGCCAGGTGTGCCCTTGGGGTGCCTGGGATGGCCATGGGGCTGGGGGCACCCCGGGGGGCTCCCCCACTGATTGGCACCCTCTGCTCCCTAATAGCCCCCTGCTCCATCCCTCCTCATCCTCTTCATCCCCTCCATCCCAGCCCCTCCGGTGCCTGAACCCTGTGAGCCCCCCCCCCCTCCATGTCCTCACTTCCCAGCAGGGCCACCCGCCGTGTCACACACGAGTCACCTCCTGGCCCCCGGCCCATCCGGGGCAGGACAGGACACAGGGCCGCATCCTGCTTCCTCCCTTCTTGGAAAGAGGGGGCTGGGCCTCCCCCCGCCCTTCCTTTCCAGCACCCCCATTTCCCCCAGTACCCCCAGTACCCCCATTCCGGGGGTGCTCCCTCCCGGCCCTGGCTGCTGCCGTGCTCCCGGTGCCGGTGCCATCCCCGCCGTCCCCGGGACAACAACAGGGTGACGCGGCCCCGCACAAAGGGAGCCGGCGGCACCCGGCGCCGCCGCACAAAGGGCCTCTGTGCCGGTGCCGTGGCTGTGCCCGCCGGCACCCACGGGACCCCACTGGCACCCACGGGACCCCGCCGGTACCCGCCCGGCACCCACCGGTGCCCAGGAGCGGTGTTGGGGGGTGCGGAGCTCACCGGGAGCCCACCGTGGCCCTGGCACCTGTGGCGGTGACACATGGAGCATCCGCCGGAGCCGGCATCCCATGGGCCGTGGCATCCGCCAGCTCCGGCATCCGGCACGGCCGGCGTCCCCGGGACCTGACATCTGCTCTGGGTGACATCCCCCACCTCCAGCATCTTCAGCTCCAGTATTCCCACTTCCAGTATCCCCCAGTTCCAGCACTCCCATTTCCACCATCTCTGAACTCCAGTATCTCCCAGTTCCAGCATCTCCAGCTCCAGCATCCCCAGCTCCAGCATTCCCAGTTCCAATATCTCCCAGCTCCAGCATCACCAGCTCCAGTATTCCCAGTTCCAATATCTCCCAGCTCCAGTATATCCCAGCTCCAGCATCCCCAGCTCCAGCATTCCCAGCTCCAGTATATCCCAGCTCCCCTATCCCCCAGTTCCAATATCCCCCAATTCCAGCACCCCCAACCCCAGTGTCCCCCGGCCGTGGGGCACCCTTGGGTGCTGGCCGGGGGCTTGGTGCGGGGGGAGGGCTCCTCCTGGCCCAATCCCCCTCCCCCCCCGCCCGGAGGTGGCCCAGCGCCCGGGGGGGGTGGCCAGCTGTCAACATCTGGACGGCATCACGCCGCGCATCCCCCGTGACTCACGCCGGGCCGGGAACAGCCGTGACGTGGGGGACGGCGGCTGCTGACGTCACCCGGGGTCGGTGACGCAGGCCAAGGCCAGGGGTGCCGACGTGACCCCACGGCTGTGGGGTACATGGAGGGGTCCTGGCACGGCCGGGTGGTCCCCGTGTCCCCTGGGAGGGGGGACAAGCCCCGATGCCGGAGCGTGGGAATGCCCTGAGCGGGAAGGCACGCGGGGGGAGCGGGGGGGGGGGGCCTTGCTGATGCAGCGAGCTGCCCGGGGGGGGGGGGGGGGGGGGGGGGGCAGCTTGGCCGGGACAGGACAGTTTGTGTGGGGACATGGGGACACCGTGGGTGCCGGGAGTCCCCAAGTGGGGATCCCTAGGGACGTGTGTCCCCCCGCCATCACACCAGGACACCCGGCTCCTCCTTTGCCCAGCGCATCCTGCTCACCCTGCCCCCTCCATCCCATCCCTGTCCCCTCTGTCCCCATCCCTGTCCCCTCTGTCCCCTCCATCCCCATTCCTGTCCCCTCTGTTCCCTCTCCCCTCTGTCCCTGGCCCCTCCGTCCCCATCCCTGCCTCGTCCATCCCACTCCTGTCCCCTCCATCCCATCCCTGTCCCTTCTGTCCCCATCCCTGTCCCCTCTGTTCCCTCTCCCCTCCATCCCATCCCTGTCCCCTCCATCCCCATTCCTGTCCTATCTGTTCCCTCTCCCCTCTGTCCCTGTCCCCTCCATCACATCCCTGTCCCCTCCATCCTCTCCCTGTCCCCTCTGTCCCCATCCCTGTCCCCTCTGTCCCCTCCATCCCCATTCTTGTCCCATCTGTTCCCTCTCCCTTCTATCCCTGTCCCCTCCATCCCTCCCCTGTCCCCCCCGTTCCCCCGGGACCGCCCCGTCCCGCCTCCCTCCTCTGCCCGGCACAAAGATGGCGGCGGCGGCGGCCTCAGCGGCGCTTCCCCGGATGTTTTCCCCTCAGTAAAGATGGCGGCGGGCGCTGCCCAC